AGAGATAAATGGGAATTATTATTTAATGGGTATAGTGTCTCAGTTTGGGATGATGAAAAAGTTCTGGAGATGGATAATGGTCCATAAAGTGAATATATTTATTGACACTGAATTGTATATCTAAAACAATTCAAATGGTAAATTTTATATGTGTTTTCCCATAATAAAAAAAATCAGAAACCCAAGTAAAAATGGAGGCACATGTCTTTCTCTTCTCTGTGGGAACTTCCCTACCTGTCCACAGGATCCTCCAGACACATTCTCACATATTTCCTCCATTTCCTCCAAGTTGTTGCTTTTCAAAACCACCACCATTTTCATCCCCAGGGTCCATCTCTGGGATTTCCTTCTGTCTTTGGCCATCTACTTTACCTCAAGGCTATATGCCAAAATTTCCCTAAGCTGGCTCATCTCACCTTTAGGAGGAGAAGAGTATCTATAGAAGACTCTACTTGTTTAATATGATCACGAGATTTGAGCTATTGACCACCATACACAAATGTCTTATATGTGTCCCATCACTCCCAGATGAATATTCTAAAATATGCCTCTTGCAATGAAAACCTTGGAAATACAGAATTTATTTATTATTCCTCTGAGAATGCAATCCATTGACCAAAACTTTAAACATTTACTTATACCTCACCTGTTAGTAAACAGTCCAAAGACTAAAATTAAATGGCAAAATTCACAAAAGATTAATCTGGAAACAATAGTTAGAATACTTGGTCAATTTATTTTAAAACAATACCAAAATGTTGATTCAACTGAGCTAACTATTCATTTATTTTTGTCTATATAATATCAAAAAGTTTGACCAAATTTTTCTCTGATTTTATTAATATTTTCACTGAATTTTCAGATGTTTTGCTTTCACATAGTGGTGTCACTATATATCTTTATTTTTCCCTTACACCATGATTCCTATGTATAGTTTATTGCTGGAGGATAGCTTCAGGGCAGGACAGATATTAAAACTATAGAGGATCTCATAAGATGTGAAGCTGAATATCTTTTTTTTTAGATTAGGTAACCTTTTTATAGCTTTGAGGGAAAACATGGATAGTACTCGTGCATGAGTGTGTGTGTGTGTGTGTGTGTGTGTGTGTGTACACTGACAAAGAATCCTTTTATATTGAGAATGAGCAAAATTTTATGCCCAACACTGCAAGAAAACTCTAGAAGTTTTGGGATTTTTTAAATGTATCTGTCTGCAAGGGATCTTCATTTATATACCTACAACCCAATTCATACATAAACTCAGGGCATTAGTACAGAATATTGGTTAAGGAGGTAGAGTTTTACTGTCAGCTCTGACATTTCCTAGCTTTTCCCAGTTTTCTCATCTGTATTACAGTGATAAAAATTACAGCTTCTTTATGGAATGTTGAATGAGAAATGACTCAACACAGTGACATGCTCGATTAATGTTAGTGCTCTCATGCTGAGAACCAAGAAAACTTGTCATTTTTTAAATTATGCAATAACTTACACCACCAATTTTGGGTCATTGTTTTTAATTTAAATAAGTAATCCGCTTTTCAGTTTAGTTTCCAAGAGGCAACATTTCGGAGGCAGACTTCAGCCTATTCAGGGACGAGCAAGGAGGACAGAATGGAAGGAGCAGAAGAATGTCAGGAAGTATGGCCATGGCAAGAGCTGTAGTCAGAGAGGGAGGCAGATGCTAGAGCCAAGAATTTTGTTTTGTTCGCAATTTAGGCAGCAAAGCAAAGTATTTGGAAAAGCATGAATCTGGTGGTATTTTGTTATTACCACACTGCACTAGCCTAATATTTCATCCCTTTTGGAATCATGAAGTTTTCTGATTTAATTTTGATGGTGTAATAATCATTCAGCGCTTGAATTAACTCATGGTAAACCATGCGTACCTCTTTTTCTTTGTTGTTGAAGGTGGTTGGTTTGCTCAACTACCATCATTTGGGGCTTAAGAAAAGGTTTTAGTTCTTAGTTGTATCTTCTTATGGCCCAACTGGACTTCATGTTTTTTCCCAAACGAAATCTCCAAATTCCAGGTTCCTGATAGACAGGTAGACTCTGGGTCCATGTGTTGGAACCTGTAAAATTTCTGAACCTTCACTGAAGCAACTGATTTAAAAAAAAAAAAAATTACTCTGGTTACTTGGCCCTTTGCCGTTCGCATTTTCTAGAACAAAGAACTCTGGGATTCAGAGGCAAACATATATCCTCTGTCCAGCTCTCAGAGTTTAAGGCCTATATTCTACTGAGCAAGAAGAAATTGTCCTAAAGCAAATCAAAACTAGCCTCTCAGAATCTTGCTTGTGTTTCTAACAGTCTCCAGAAAATAATCAACATGTATGACATTTCTCAGTGTCCCAAAGCACATTAAAACTTTTTTTCTTTTTCATGGAAGAGCTAGATCTTTACTTGAACTTTATCTCCTGCCCAAGGACATCAAAAGCTTCAAAACATGTACCATTTGGGGCAACTCAGTGGCTTAAGTCAGCCAAGTGTCCAACTCTTGGTTTTGGCTCAGGCCACGATCTCAAGGTTTCTGAGTTTGAGCCCCTCACTGGGCTCTGAGCTGACAGTGCGGAGCCTGCTTAGGATTCTCTTTCCCCCTCTCCTGCTCATGTTCCCATGCTCTCTCATTCTCTCTCTCTCTCTCTCATTCTCTCTCTCTCTCTCCCTCTCTTTCTCTCTCTCTCTGTCAAAATAACTAAATAAACATAAACAAACAAACAAATAATTGTGCCCTTTGGAAACAGACATGTTATATTCATATTTTTTTCTTACTGGAATTTTGTCAAATACTTCAAAAATAATAAAGAATTTGTTTTAAATAAACATTCAGCCTTTTATCTCTACATCTTCATTAGAGGGCACAGTATCTTAGGGAGTTTAGACCACTTCCTTGACTTAGTTACAGGCCTAATCATCATAAAACTGAAATTTTATAAAAATTATTCTTTTGTTTGGTCTAGTTTGCTTCTTGAGTTTACCTTTTTTATAATTCATAGAAGTAGCAAATGCCTATAGTTGTTTAAAGTATTACAGTTCTATATGAAGTTAAAAGTGCTCCTAATCTCAAAAGTAATTATTTGTAAACATTTGGTATAATTCTAGATCTTTTCCTACACACATACTCAATTAGAATATCAGCATACATTCATCACAATTCTGTTTATGTTCCTTATTTTTCCCTCCTTCATCTTATATACCATGCTCATCTTTGATTCAATCAGTTATACAGATTTTACCTTTATTTTCCTCAAGATTTCTTTTTTTTTTAAGGTACAAGCAAAAGTGGTTCTAATACAGTCTCTTCTAGGCTTTTTTCTAAGTTTAAATCATTTAAGAGGTGATCCAGGTATGTTTGAAGAAACCAGAAGGGAAACAGGCCATCTTTGAGGTTTACTAGAGCAGGGAGCACAATTTTACCCCCAAATAAAGGATGGAAATCTCGGGAATAAGTGAAGGACTCCTGCTGGCCAGGCATCCCAACTTCCCAGGATGGCTGTGTGAGTTCCCCTAAGAGGGCAGGGCCCCAGACAAGTGTCCTTACTTCAGTAAAAATTCCTCTGCCCTCCATGTGCAAGGCACCAGATTTCAATTGTCCATCTCTCACCTGGAACATAAATGGTTGGTGCTCAGAGGGATGGACTGAAGATAAGCTCTTCCTCCCACGTGTGGGACAGCAACCAGTGAGAAGGGGGCAGGACCCAAGGCAGCTGCAATTGAATCATCCATAAGACAAAGAGGGTGAGTCTAGAGTCTGACTCACCTACACACAGAGACGATAAATAACTAGATACTTCTTATACATCTGAGATGTTGACTGGGACGGTCTCCAAATATTTATGTAGATTTGGGACATGTGCTTCATTTCATTGTGTTTGTTTTTGATAACAAAAATGCCTTTTTCTATAAATTAGCTTTGCAAACAATAATTATAAGGATCTTTCCGTGATCGTATATTCTATCTCATACTTCATCCGTTTTGTCAGAAGAAAGGGTTCAGAGGTAATCAAATTGACAGATTTGGTGAAAGGAATATAGAGTAGTTCATTTAACTGCTTCCAGTTTATTTTATTTTACTGGTTTGATTTTTCACATTTAAAATGTTAATGCATCCAGAGGCTCCTGGATGGCTCAGTTGGTTAAGCATCCAACGCTTGATTTCAGCTCAGATCATGATCTTGAGGTTCTTGAGATCAAATCCCCCATCAGGCTCCACTATCGTGCTCTCTCTCTCTCTCAAAATATATAAATAGACACTAAAAAACATAAAACGTTAATGCACCTAAAGTTGTATTACGATTCAAGCTCAGACTTTAATGTTTTATTTTCCCAAGTGGCTAGTTACTTATTTCCACACTTTTTCACCAGGTGCTTAGCAATGTCACTCTTATCTTACAGAAGCTTCTGCATCTTTGAAGGCTTGCTTCTAAGTTCTCTATTCCATTGTTCTAGTCTATTTGTGGCAAATTGCTCTGCTTTATTATATAGCCCTATGATAAGTCTATATAACTAATAAAACAAAGCTTGACTTAAGATTTTTCTACCAAGTTGCCTTATTTGTAATCACCTAAATATTGTCTATATCCATGTTTACATTCTCCATTTCTTATTCTTAGTATTGTTTAACTATTTTTCTTTCTTTTTTTCTTTGATGAGACTTGAAAGAAAATTTTCCATTATTTGCTTCTGCTTAGGTTTTGACTTTTCGTGTGTGTGTGTAGTTGGTTAAGTCATTTTCAATTTTATTTTAAAAGCCTATTTCTGTTTGTTTTTTCCTGTTTTTTCCTCTTTCATTAATTTTTCCTTTAAAAATTCTTTTAAAATTATTTGTTTCTTAAGGGAAGTTTAAACAACATAAAATGAAACTATAAATGATATAAAACCAAGCTGCAGATGTTAACATGACTCCCCCTTTCACAATGTACACATAAATCAAATCATCACATTGTACGATTCAAAATCTTACAACTTTGTCGAGTGTCCTTCAATATATAATAATAATGCTCACTTCAGCAGCTCATATACCAATATTGGAAAAGATACAGAGATTAGCATGGACCCCATGCAAGGATGACACACAAATGCATGAAGCCTCCCACAAATAAATAAATAATAAAGTGAATACACAAATAAATAATAATAATAAAATAAAATGAAAGCATTAATAGGTAATTTTTAATTTAATTTAATTTTTAATTTTCTAGTTTTTAGTTTTAGACACAGAGAGAGGGATGAATGCCAGCAGTGGAAAGGAGCAGAGGGAGAGAGAGAGAACCTTAAGCAGGCTCTGTGCCGACTCCACAGCCCTGTGATAATGACCTGATCGGAAATCAGGAGTTAGACACTGGACCAACTGAGCCACCCAGACACCCCAAGGTAAACATGATTTTTAAAGCATTAATAAAGAAAATACATGTCAAGAGTAAATTCTTTTTTAAATTCTCTTAATGGGTAAGAGGGCTTTACCAACTGTGTTGTGCTAGTAAGTAGGTCTGCAATGAGCCTAAGAGCAAATGGCCTTCTATTGTATAATTTGAAGGTCAACAAACCCAATCCTTCCAAAAATATCTTCTCTGCTACCTGAACTTGGCATTGCATTTATTCCTATGCAAACTAACATATAAGGCTCTTGGTTACTGGCTATGGATAGTGGTTGTTCCTCTCAGGAATGGTTCTCAAACTTCTGCCCTCCATAACAATGACTAAGAAAGTGGACTCACAAGGCAGATTGAGAGGTTTTAAGATGAGGGCCAAGAATTTCACATGTAAATAATTATTTCAGTTGATTACGATAGCAATCACCCTAGAACCACTTTCTGAGAAATACTACTATAGAAGATGGATAGTTAGCCATTCATTTACCAGGAAATGATCCCAGAGCTTCCTCCTTAGCACCTCAGCACCTGAGTTTCTCTTAGCAGATAATATAAAACAAAGGACAGGAAAATCTCAGAGGGAGAAGGCATGAGAGTGATGACACCTAACAAGAAGCAGTTTTGAAGGTGCCAGACAGAGGAAGGATACAAGTTATTTGAGTTTTAGGCAACACTGTCCAACCGAATTTTCGGGCAATGATGGAAACGTTTTACATGCACATGCTCTAATAGTAGCCACTAGTCACATGGCTTTTGAGCATGTGAAATGTGCCTAGTCCAACTGAGTATCTAAATTTCAAATATCAAATTTTATCTAATTTTAATTAATTTTAATTTAACTGTGTATGGTCACATGTGCTAGTGACTATCATACCTCAGCACAGGACTGGAGCTTTGTCTAAGGCTGGGATAGGGATTTAGTAAAACGAAAGTTGGTACTAAATTAAATTATTTCTAATTTACAATGTTGCCAAAGGTCAGCTGGAATTTTTAGGATCGTAGTATCTAATCTTGATACCATGCTACCAGGGAAAGTCATAGAATTGGTAAAATGTATTTAACTAATAGTTCGTCTATCATTCTGCCAGTCAAATAAATTGCTCTCAATACAGAAACCATTGAAGTGCATTTTCAAGAAATCTTAGTGACAGTTTGGCAAATGATAGGCAGAAGAAAAAATATTAGTGGTAAATATCCTCAGTATATTGTTCAAAGTCTGTCAAGCTAAATTTTTGGTGGTCATTGAAAAAATTATTTTGAGTTTAAAAAATTTGAAAAGGTTTTTTGAGTGAGGAAACTCTCTTAGTAATGGTGTTGACACTTATAGAACACTGACCACAAGACAAGGAGTTGTGAAGTGCTCTACATGCACATCATTTGATTTAACCCAGACAGCACCAACACATCGCTATTAATCACATTTTAAGACGAAAGAAACAAAAAATCAGAGAAGTTAAGTAACCTGCCCAAAGTGGCACAGCCGGTCAAGCAGCATCAAAGTTGGTAATAAAATCCGTTTGCCTCCAGATCACTACATTATGCTGACTCTTTCTATTTGATCTTGAAATAGACGGGTTGGCAAAAAATATCCTCAGATGTTTAGTATTCTTATTTTCTTAATTTTTTAATGTTTATTTATTTTTAAGAGAGAGAGAGCACAGGCAGAGGAGAGGCAGAGAGAAATGGAGACACAGAATCTGAAGCACTCAAGCCTCTGAGCTGTCAGCACAGAGCCTGACACAGGGCTCGAACTCACAAACCACGAATGATCATGACTTGAGCTCAAGTCAGACCCTTAACTGACTGAGCTACCCAGGCACCCCAGATGTTTCATATTTTTAAAAAATCCGTTCTACTGTTTGCCAACTAAAATAATAAAATTTGAAATGTTAATAAATGGTTCTCATGCTAATACTCTTTCTAAAGATGGTGATTTCTACCATAAGCAGGCCCTCCAACTCTACTGAGCACCTTAGTAAGTCAGCGTTTGTGATGATGAGTCTAGGTGAATTTGAGAGTTTGAGAGTTAGGGAAGCTGACTTTCAGGAGTGGGGAGAAATTGAAATTCTTGAGGCAATTCTGAAGCAGGAGATGAGTAGAGATGGGGATGAGGAGGAAAGGGAAAGAAGTGTCATTGAGTTTTAAGAAGATGAAGCCAATGTGGATTAAAAGGCTGGTAGTATTCCAGTGTGGCTGATGGCCCAGAGACATTTTAAAATCAGACCTCGCTCATGTCCAGTTTAGTTACTTTGCTACCATATAAACCCTGCCTCCTCTCCACCCACCTCCCCTTTAAACTTTATTAAATTTCACTAAACTCACTAATGTGGTGGGAATGTTGCTTTGCTTTATTTCCTCTGGATTTTAGGAAAACTTAGTTTCAGTTCTTTACTAGCTCAGGGACCTGGCAATCTAAAACATGCAAACCTCTCCTCCTGACCCGTCTTTCCCTCCAATAATTTACATAATATAGTATCTCAGATTTCCTCAAGGCATAGAATTGGGGGTATATTCTATAAAATAAAATTCAAGTCTATTTTATTCTGCTCTTGGAGAGCACAAAGACCTCAGCTGAGTTCCAGATAACATTTTAATTATATATACATTTATCGTTCTAAGTAGGATGAGATAGCCACTCAATTTCTGGCCCTAAGCCCTCTAAAGGGGGGGGGGGATGCACTTCTTCTAATAAAACATGAAATCTGAGTGTCAGGACAGACCCAGAGTTTATCTAGTTCAGTCTCCTCTTGGATGCCCCTTGAAACTTCCCTACCATGATCACGTGTGTTTTCTTTGACCTCTTCCAGGTACAGAGAACTTGAGATCTCCTGCAGAAGCATATTTCACCCAAGAAACTTAGCTTCCTAGGTCACCTGGTGGGCTCTCTGGGTTAAGCATCTGACTTCAGCTCAGGTCACACTCTCATGATCTTATGGTTCGTGAGTTCAAGCCCAGCATTGGGCTCTCTGCTGTTGGCGCAGAGCCCTCTTTGGATCCTCTGTCTCCTTTTCTCTCTGCCCCTTCCCCACTCTCTCACCCTCTCTCTCCCAAAAATAAATAAACATTAAAAAAAAGAAACCTAGCCTTTCATAGTAATATTTTGGGGAGCTGTATTGAATGACTGAAATTTCTGATCTATGTGACTGTCAGTAACTTCTGACTCTCTCCCCCCTCCTACCCTAATTAACACATTCCTTATTCCATCAACCATTTCTCTTCTTATATTTTGTAAGGATTTTAGTCTCCCAGTTATTTTCCCTTAGAGTAATTTTCAGCTATTCCATGATCTTTAAAATACGACATCCAAATTCAAACAAAATTTCAGGAGTGGTCTGACCAGCACAGTATAGATCTGGCTTCTCTCCTCCATCTCTACATCTGGGAAAACAATTCAGGCTTGAGTTTGGTCATCTTTTGACAATCACATCTAATGGCTTAAGGGTAATATCATTTTTTTTCTGTGTTGCCACCGAGCCCTCATTTTGAATCTGACTGTTGTGGGGTTTTTCACATTGTACAAACGAATCTTTGCATCATAAAGCAAAAAGCGTAAACTTCAAAGTCAGAGAGTTATCCATTTGTATTCAGTCTCCATGGTTTTAGCTCCATGACCTTGAAAAAGTTACTTAACCTCTCTGAGATTTGGTTTCAATGTTTGGCTAAGAGTATGATAATATCTAGTTGTTTAGTTTTATCGTGAGCATTACATGAACTATAAATGTGAAATAACTAGCATGATGTCAAAGTACAGCTCTCTCTTCCTTTTGTGCAGCATGATATTTTGGCCCACAGTTGCACTCATCAACACTTTTTATATTAATTTCATAATTCATTGAATTGGCTATTCTTCCTAGAATTTCAGCATCTGTGAAATTTAACATACTTTCAAAAATTTCATCTAGGTTATCGAAAATAATGTTAATTGGACAAAGCAAATACTGCTGCTTTCTACTAAGAAATCTTCCAGGTTTGTGTTAAACAGTCTTTTGCTGAACAGGAAAAAAAAGTAGGACAGAAAAAACATCTGAGGTTCAGTGAGGCACAAAGGACTTCTCAAGCACAAGATGGTCATATAAAGACCAGATGTTGTAATATTGAATAAAAACCAATGCTTCCTAGATGTCATCTCATTTAATGCTCATATCATTTTTTTTTGCAGTAGTCTAGAAGATATGATTGTCCCCAGTTTACAGATGAGCTTAAAAGAGGCCACACAAATAACAAGAATTCATATTTTCTTCAATAATTACAAGTCTTCATTTCAGTTACCCATTCTAGAATGTTATCTAAAATATGAAAAGGCTTGCTGTTTATTATAACTACTTCTTCCACATAGAAAATAAGTGCAATTAATTCGTTAACACATATTGGTTATTGATCATCTACTGATGCCTAACACTCTCCTAGGGATAAAGAAAAGCAGCAAACAAAGGTCTGTGCTTTTGTGGGTATTATGGTGGAGTTGGAAGACAAGAAACAAATAAATAATTTGCAAGTGATGATACCTACTGAAAAAATAAAATAGGAAAGTAGAACGTGCAGTGACCTGAGTGATGGTGGTCTTGCCGCTGTACTTGAGAGTGGTTAGGAAAACTCTCTGAGAGCTCTAGAAGCTTATACCTGGGGAAAGTGCGTCCCAGCCAGTGGCGGCATGGAGTTCAAAGTATGTTTGGTTGTTTAAAGAATGGCAAAAAGGTCAGTAAGACTAAGTTGGAGCCAATGACAAAATT